CCCCTACTTAGGATCGAAAAACTTCGAAACCTGCAACAAAAACTTACGAAAAGATCCCATCAGAACCCCTAAACCCAAATCCCTAAACCCTAACCCTAATCGGTAATCCCTAATCCCTAAACCCTGAACCCATAAAAAAGGTGCCTCCACCGACGCCTCGGGTTCCCAGCAGCGGACCTCCGCTAAGATCTCCTGCTCTCCAGGGCCCACAGTAGAGGTGGGGGTCAATAGGGTGGCATGGGGCTTAAAATGAGGACGTTGAATAGTGTGTTCTTCTAAGGTAGGGTGAGCCAAGATAGTAGAATATAATACAAATGAGAATCTTTGCCGTACTTTCTACGGCTTCACAGGATATAATCGGGTGTTATGACGTTTTGTGTGGCTTTTTTTGTTGTACCAAGTAGGGGTCCAGATTTAGGGCTGAAGATTTGCTAAACCCTGATGTTCCTCGGGGCCTAGGGGCTTTCAAGGTATACTTGGAGGATCATGGGACTTAGTAAATCAGGTTATAAGTACGTTAATTGGGGTTATAAGTAGTTATAAGTACAGTTACCCTAATTATAACCCTAGTTACTAAGTCCCATGATCCTTTAAGTATGGTTTCATAACTCACTTCTTTGTGGGCATCTATGCTGAGCAGGAAGCACCCTCGGTGGCTTGGCCGAGAGGACTCGGGGCAGTGGCGCTACGGGAAAGTTTGAATTCGTCTTCATCCGTGGTGGAACTTTTTTTGCTGATTTCAAAATCAAACATTGTAAACTGTGAGAAGATTCTCCGACAAGTGCAATGTGTATTCGTTCAGCTACTAAAATAAAAGCCAGCGGGCTTGCACGAGGGCCTTGGGAGGTATAGCCATAGAGTCTCTTGCAGCATATACCCTATCTATACCCTAAACACTTATCCACTAAACCCTAAACCCCTCACACCTAAACACCTAAAGCCCCAGACTCGAAAGCCCCAAACCCCTCACCGTCACCCCTAAACTCCCCAAAGCCGTAAAACCAAAAGCCTTAAACCCAGCATGTTCTGTACTTGGAGGTTCATGGGGAATTATAAGTCGGGCTATAAGTAGGGTAACTAAAGTTATAGTAAATATCAGGGGACTTATAACTCCACTTGTAACTACCCATGAACCTCCAAGTAGGGTCTTCATAAAACTTGAGATCCACCTCCCAGGACTCGCGACATCACCACTGTTAGGTCAAAACGTTGAAGGTTGCTCTTCAGAGTCAGGCGGTTAGGCATGGTTGAGGAGCGCTTCGGGATTTGAGGATTTCTTGTGGTTTCGGGTGTTCACGGCTTGGGGTCTGGGCTTTGAGGTTCAAGTTCGATGCCAGCAGAAGGAGACGGCGTCTTACTCGGGACCTTCATCGTCGATGCAAGCTATCCCTGCTCTGCCGCAGCCCAACACTTCTGCCTAAAACATGAGATGCAAGGTGAAGGTATGAATATCAACCGAGCCCTTATCGACCCTGTAAATGTCTCGTTGTATATGCCCCTATTCACCTATTCAATGTATCAAGGCCCTTCTGCTACCTCTTGCTTTGCCCTTGGCCCTAAACCCGACACCCTAAACCCCAAACCCTAAATCCCTTAAGCCCCGAAACCCTAAACCCTAAACCCTTAAGCCCCTAAACCCTAAACCCTAAACCCGACACCGACAAAGCTCCGTCCCTGCCTCGAAAAGGGGCTTCTGCGGATGCTGCCACAGGGATTCGCCGGTTGCCCGATTGAAAAAGTACACCTGCTTGTCTGGGTTGGCCTTTAAACACCCTGAAAATTCTTATACATAGGGTCCCTTACCAACCCAAATAAGGAAAATAAAAATGTCCCCAAATCCAACCTAGCTGTGTTCAGGGTGTAAGGCTTTGGGGTCTGACCAACACCATCATCTCGATCGCGGAACCATCCTTACCATCGGCGTCATGAGGTACTGAATACTAAACGAGTTCCTCAATCGATGACCAAAAGAATAATCCGGTCGGTCCTTTTTCTGATAAGGACCCCGACTCGGAGCACTGCCGAAAGAGCAAGGCCAAAGCCCTAAGTTATGTTAATCGTCCAGACCTTACTAGCATAAACCCTCAACCATATGCCCCGGGTGACTTGGTTATGATGTCCCCTTTGATTCGCTGTACACCATAATATGCCCCAATACCCTATGCTAGTTATTAACGCCGCATGTTCAACCTTGAAACCGCGTAAACTTTTGTTAATGCATTTTAAACCCCCCTACAACAGATACTACCAGACCTCTATAAACCCAAATAAAGCATCCTAAAAATCTTGGCACTATAAGAAGTTCATACGCCCTAAAAAAGCTCTGTGCAAGTAGTTTCTTCGCGGCTCTGGGGTTCCCTGCCCGGCCACTGCCCTCATCGACCTGTTCTGACCACTGCGGGGGCAGCGGTGCCGCAAACCTCGATTCTAAGAGGGCTCTACTCTTGATTTAATACTCAGAATGGGGATCTACAGGGTTCCACCTTCTGCCCTACGGCTGTGCCATGTCTCTGTAAGGTTCTAGAGTGGTCTCACAGGCTTTTGTAGGGTCTTATGGTCGGGGTGAAAGTTTCTGGCGGTCAGGGTTGTCAAGGGTTGTGAGATCCAAGTCCCCAAGAGACGATCCAAATATCCAGTTACCAACGTTGCTCAGGAGCTCTTTAAGCAACCCCACTCCGAAACCCTAAACCCTAAACGTTTAGGGTTTGGGGTTTAGGGTTCAGGGTTGAGGGTTTTTTTGAGCGCCTTTTCCCGCCTTGCAGTTAAGGTTAGCGTCCACGGTTGTGGGAGGGTTTAGTTTAGGCTTCAGGGTTTAGGCAAATACCCCAAGCCTGCTCCAAAAACTCCCACCCCTCCTTAAATCCTAAACCCCAAACCTTCACCAACATTCAAGCTTAAATAGAGCTCAAGCCTTCCCTAAACCCTAAAACCTAACCCGAACTCTAAATCCTATATCCCTCCCCTACATTTCAGGTGTTCAAAGACTCGAGCTCTACGCGCTGTAGGGTTTTAGGGTGTGAGGTTTTCGGCTTCAGTAGGGTTTAGGATATATGGGCTGAACTGTAAGGTCAGGGTTTAACGGATTCTACGTTTCTGCCATAGGAAACCCTAAACCCTGCACCCTAAACCGTTGTTGAGTTCAGGGTATTCTGAACCTCTAAAGCTGAAAATTCAGGTCCGGGCATGTGCTGCGCTGCTGCCATGATCAGGCTGCCTGCTGTCTAGGTCTGGGGTCGAGTGTTTGGGGCTCAAGGTTTGGGGTGTAGAAGCCAAGCTATTTAGGACCACCTGGTTGGTTAGTTTGGCAAGCAAGGAAACAGACACACTTCCGAAACCCTGCTTGTATACTAGCGGCGATCAGTCTGCAGGCAGGGCTAACAGCGACCAGGTGGATATTCATTATGGGAGTTTCCGAAAAATGGGGGACCCTAATATAGTACCCTAAATAGTAGGATCCTTATTACAAGGACCGCAAAATAAGGTACCCCCTATTTTCGGAAACTACCATAGTTGTGTTGTGACCCTGAGGATGCCTCTCCTCTGGGCAACCGCTGTTGTACTCTTCCTTACTGCTGCCACTACTCAAAGGTTCATGGGACTTAGTAACTCGGGTTGTAATTAGGGTAACTGTACTTATAACTACTTGTAACCCCAATTAAGGTACTTATTTCCTGACTTACTAAGTCCCATGATCCTCCAGGTACTCACTCCTTCTAATAGCCCGGCTTACACCCTCAACCCCGCGCCCAGAAACCGCGAACCCCACTGGCGCAGTTTCCGCTAGGGCTAAGAAGAGCGACAGCACATGTTGTTGGAGTGAAAGAGAAGGAACATGGCGATGGAGTTAACGACGCCAGTCTTGATGCTGATGGTGATGACAAATTATGATGACATCGCGGCCATGAGATGTGAGGACGGTCAGACATACCATCAACATTCATGGCAAACCATCAGCAGCAGCAGCAACAGAATATAGCAGAATCGGCGCGTACGGCGACGAGAACGCTCAGTAGCAGCAAAATGCGTATTGAAAAGAAAGGGGGGGAAGATCGACATCATGTTCTCAACATCATGAACCTTATAAGTACCTTAATTGGGCCTAAACCCTAAACCCTGAACCCTGAACCCCTAAACCCTAAACCCTAAACCCTAAACCCAAGATCATGAGCCTAAGTCCGACCAGGACTCTTATCCTCAAACCTGTCACTCTAATCGGTCCAATTGGCTCTTGCTCCTCGGGGTCTCGCCCCCCAAAAAAGCACATAAGCAAAATAAGGACAGTAGGGATATCCCATATAGACCCCCTTAAAGGGAAGGCCGATAAGGTGGTGATATCCCCATAAAAACCATATGCTTCTGTGCCTTTTGGGCCCCTACGGTTGATGATATAAATCCTGCATTACCCATAATAAGGAATATACCATAATTCCCATACTTTAGGTTCCTTAAGGTAATCATAATAAGGAATATACCATAATTCCCATACTTTAGGTTTCCGTAAGGTAATGCAGGATTTATCTCAGCACCCTAAACCCTAAACCCTGAACCCTGCACCCCAAACCCTGAACCCTAAACCCTGAAACCTAAACCCTAAACCTTAAACCAAAAACCCTAAACCCTGAACCCTAAACCGTTAAGACTCGGTGCCGAAGCTGCCGGCTCAGTTTAGGGTTTAGGGCGTAGGGTTTAGGGTTTAGGGTCTAGGGTGTAGGGTCGGTAGACCTCAGGCTCGGGACCTTTCCTTCTCAGCCTACTCCTTGGAAGTTAGTATAAGGGTGCTACAAGGGTTGCTTTAAAGGACTCTGTAAGTCCATAACGGTCTAGAGTTTCCGAAAATTAGGGGCACCTTATTTTGGGGCCCTTATAGCAAGGATCCGACTATTTAGGCTACCGTCTTAGGGTCCCCTATTTTCGGAAACTCCCCTACCAGGCATCCATGGTCTTGTGCACCGTGCAGTCATGGTAATGCGTGTTCTGGGAGTCTGTCGCTTGTCCCTCTTTCAGTGGTCGGCAAGACGTAGGACGGCAGGTGGATGCCGGAGTAGAGGGGGGGCCAGCATCCCGGGAGCAGCCTTCCCCTCCTCCTTCGCCACACAGATCCAGCCCAGCTTGCCCTTGATGTTGCGAGCTCGCACCTGATCGAGCGATGTCGTAGTGGCCGAACTCCTGGAACCGGCGGACCGAATTTGTGTTTTCCTCTTGTTTCTGGAAGGTGGCTCCTCACGCTCTACAATCCTGGACCCTGCGCCATTCCTCCTCGGTAGGTCAGGTCCTGGTACTGGTCGCCCCCAATCTCCTCCGCCACATGGGTGCAAGGTTTAGGGTTTAGGGTTTCGGGTTTAGGGTTCCGTGGCGTCGCCTGCGTTCCGCCGGGGATTCCCAGACCTCTCCTGCTCCGGCGAGCTTGAGTAGGCTTCGGCCCCAAACAAACCCCTAACTCCACAATCTTTACCTACGCCTTGAAACCTAAACGCCTCACCCTGAAGTCCCTGCCTGCACATGTCAAACACAAGAGTGGGATTCCTAAAATGTCCTGAGTTCCCTTGCCTGCCTTAAACCGGACTCCCATTCTCCAGAGGCCCCTAAGCCCTGACTCTAAGTCCGAAACCGCTGAACCCTAAACCCTACCCTGAACCCTATACCCTGAACAGCATACCCTGAACCCTAAACCCTGAGCCCTATACCCTGAACAGCATACCCTGAACCCTAAGCCCTGAACCCTATACCCTGAACAGCATACCCTGAACCCTAAGCACTGAACCCTAAAACCCTGAAACCCTAAACCGCTCCAACTCCCACCTGCGCTGGCGTGATCAACGCCCAGGTGCTCGAGAAAGTCTTCCAGGTTGCCTTGCGAAGGATGGTTCGGGGTTTGGACACTGCCCCCACCCTGTAACAGTCGATACTACTTGGAGGTTCATGGGTAGTTATGTGGAGATAAAAGTCTCCTAATATGGATTGTAAGTATAGTTGCCCTACTTATAACCCACTTATAGCTCCCCATGAGCTCCAAGTAGATTATAGGCCGTATCAATACCTGCAGGGGAGATAATCGCTGCCCTCGACTCCTTCGTGGAACTGCTTCAAGTGCTCATGCTGCGTGGCAAGAATGACTAGGATACCCAGTAACCTAAGAATAAGATAGAATAAGAAGGGCCTCTCTTTTTGCTATTGGGTAACTTTATAAGGAACCTAGGACTACAAAAAGAGAATAAGGGTACTACTGGGCATCCTAGAGTTGCACTGCCTCGGGTGCCAGCCTTGGTTCTGGAAAAGTGGTGTTCGGCTGCATCTTCCATTGACCACTGTGGCTCGAACGGCGCACCAGCACTTTTCCAGCATGCCAGCCTGATTACCCCGTGGGCAGCCAGGGAGAGAAGATTGCGTGTGGTCTGAACTGCAAGCAACTGCCCGTGCCAACCGCTGCCGCATTCGTCCACTGCATGGGCGATGGAGAAAAGGCAGAGATAGTAGCCAGTCAAGCAGTTCGCGAAGATCTCGGGAGGCTGCAGCAGGGGCGCCGCCGTGAAGGAGCCAACGATCAAAGAGCTGACGAACTGGAAGACGATCAGCCCCAAGCAGTCCCAATGCACTGGCCCTCGCGGCAACATCAGCTCTGCTGTTTGCCGATCACTCTGGGAGTCTTTCCCGACGAATGCAGCGTTTGAAAGTCCGTTCCGTTTCAACGCAGATAGCGAACACCATAATTTTGACAACCCCATAATTTTGACAACCACCCATAAGACACGTTTCGTCGTTTCGTTGTTTAGGGGCTGCACCCTGGAGCTCTAAGGACTCACATTTTGAGGCTTCTGGGCCCCAAGACCATACTATCTGTGGCTCTTACTCTAGGATGCCCTAAAAACCTAGGAATAGAAAGGGGTTCCCCTTTGTGGAATTTGGGCAACTGCATAAGGAACCTAGGGACTACCAAAAGGGGAACAAGGGTACTACTGGGCATCCTAGCCCCTAGTTTTCGGAAACCCTAAACCCTTTATAGAACCCTTATAGATCCCTTTAAGGAACCTTTTTAGATCCCTTGAAAGGTACCCCTAGTATTTCGAACCTCAGAGGCGGGAGGTTCGGGTTCACCTACTTGTCGGGTATCATGGGGAACTAGAGGTTAGCCTTTTTGGTTCTGCAGGCATTATCTAGGGACTAGACTACCCAAAAAGGTTAAAGGTTACCTACTCTACTACTAGGTTTATGTATGGTTTAGGGGCTTAGGGTTCAGGGACGTGTGGCTTCGGGGCTTATCGCGGCTTCTGGTGTTTATCGGGGTTTCTACAAATCTGCTCCGTAAGGTCCTTCTAGGGCTTGTAGTGTTTATGAGGGTGTCGTATGGCTTTTGAAAGGGGTATGTTGGAGATTCGGATAAACTGCTAGGATTTTATAGAAGCGGGCGGGGTCTTAAAGGCTTAGCGTCTGAGATCTAGTGTGTAGGTTTTTTTTGAGGGCTCTTTTCCAACTGGTTAGCAGGAATGCCTTACCAGGCTGAACCTGTGGTTGGGGCCTCTGCAAGAAAGGTGTAGTAACCCATTCGAACCCTGTACGCCATCCCACTGAACATCCCTCTGAGGCCCCAGCCACGTCGAAGAATGGTGCGGATTTCTGCACATAAACTACATAGTCTCGAAATGCAGCTTGGAAGTAGAGTGTGTAGGGTTTGGAATGCAAGGTTTGGGAGTTAGGGTTTCGGCCTTAACTACTAAAGGACCCTAAACTATGGGAATCAAGGCGTACCGACACCCTCCTGAAAAGATCAGGGAACTTAGTAAGTAGGTTTCCCCTAAACCCTAAACCCTAAACCTTATAGAGATAGTGTAGCCTAAATGAGCTTACTAAGTCCCCTCGGGCCCCTGATCCCGTAAGTAGAGCGCACTGCACATTGTAAGCCGCTGCACCCCCAAGGCCCAAAGCTAAGCAGGCTGACTGAACCCTAAACCATACGGTTGATGATATAAATCCTGCATTACCTTAAGGACTCTAAAGTATGGGAATTATGGTATATTGCTTATTATGGGTAATGCAGGATTTATATCATCAACCGTAGTTTGCAGTTGCACCGAGGGCGCGGCAATAGCGCAAAGCCTGCAAACAGGGCTGACAACTTTGGGAAGTTTGCGGCTTTAGTGGTTTTGCTGTTTGAGGTGTGGAGTTTTGATTTAGGGATTACAGCCCAGGGAGCATGCGAGTTTAAAAACGCGGTTGAAGGCTTGTGGCTTGAGGTGTTGAGGCATCCGACGATCGAAGTTTTGGGTTTAGGCAGTTTCGGCTTGCAGGGTTGTGGAACAGGCGCTTTCTGAGCGGCTTGCACATTCATGTCGTCTTTCCGTGACTACACACCTCAGACGGCGTCGGCTGAAAAGATATGATCGATGGTATGACGAACATCCTGTTTCCCTGTAAAGAATGCATTCAAAACTACCCAAACTCAGCCGACATGTGCATACGCAACTCAAAACTCCACACCCTACATGCTAAACCAACGCTGAACCCTGTAGCTCTGCTGGGTAGACAATATGGGAGTTTCCGAAAATACCGTTTAAAGGGATCCTTTAAGGGCTCCTCAAAGGGATCTATAAGGGTTCTACAAAGGGTTTAGGGTTTAGAGTTTCCGAGAATAGGGGTACCTTATTTTGGGAACCTGATAACAAGGATCCTACTATTTAGGGTACTATATTGGTGTCCCTATTTTCGGAAACTCCACTTTACTGCCACCAAGCTGGAAAACACGTGATCCGATGAGGGCCCAGGGGAGGGACGCCCAGCAAAATTAGGCGCTGTTAAGTAGACAAGCGTTGGAAGGGGATCATATGGGTAGGTGTCAAAATTAAAGTCCACTTTTCGGTACCCTGAACATTAGGGGTGTCGTACCGTAATAAGGACCCAAGAAGGGACCCTAATTTTGACAACCACCAATGTAAGAGTGTAAGCGGGACCTGAATTTGGATGTCGAGGCTCTTGTTTAGGTTCCCAAAACCCCCTTAACTAAGGAATCGATTTCAACAGTCCCCAAAATTATTGATAATTAGGGCTTGGTACTGAAACGATCCAATGAAATTAGAAAATTACCCCAAATCGAGACCTAAAAGATCTTGTAAGTTCCATACCCTCAATACGCACCAAGCCCTTAGAGCCCTAAACCCGAAAATCCCTAAACCCAAAGCCCCTAAACCCCGCAAGACCCCCCAAAAACCCCACGACCCCCGAACCCTAAATCTCCTAAGCGCTAAACCCAGAGACTCCAATATCCCTTAGAAGGGGCCCCCACCCTGTAACCCACCCTGTAATAGTGACCATAAGGATTATATAGGATTATATTAGGGCCCTATTATATTCCTATTATACCACTATTACAGGGTGGGGGCAGCTTCTAAAATATCCCTTAATTAAGGAGTATTTCCTTTAAGGGTTCCTCAAAAAAGGGATCTACAAGGGCTCCTTTAAGGGTTCCTATAAAGGGATTTACAGGGTATTAGGGTTTAGGGGGGGTTCCAATATCCCTTAATTGAGGAATATTCCTTAAAATAGAGTAGGATCCCTAATACGATTTAAGGAATATTCCTTAATTAAGGGATATTGGAGTCTCTGGCCTAAAACCTTGAGGGATCCTTTCAGGCTTCCTTCAAAGGGTGTTTTAAAGCCTCATTTAAGGGTTCCTTGAAGGGTTGCTTTAAGGGATCCTTCAAAGGATGCTTTAGGGTCTCCTTTAAGAGCTCCTTTAGTGGATGCTTTAAAGGGATCCTGCACGGGATCCTTTAGGGGATGCTTTAAGCCATCTTCTTCAACAACCGGGCCCCAAAAAGATCAAACTTTCCAAGATAGGGCTAATATGTATAGCCAAAAAGTTTAAAGTTCCCCCGTTCACTATCTAAGTAAGGGATCCTTTTAAGGGATCTCAGACCTCGTTGCTCGGGGACTCCTCCACGACAGCGCTGCTGTTTGAGACCTCGAGTAGCGCAGACCCCGGATCTCACTTTAACAGGAAGACATAAGAATAACACCAAGAAGAAGACCAGTGAGGTCAATAGATAAAGACATAATAACCATAAGAAGAAAAATTGCAATAGTATCAATAAAAAATAACGAAAACTTTGATAATAATAACAAAAAATAATAACAATAGGGATCAGACTACTTTGGCCTAATAAACCGCTAGCATAAACCAAGAACCGCATAAGAGATCCCGAAAATTTTGCAGAGGCACCCCACCCCCATAAAGCTTAGCTCTGTTGACAGCTTTCTGAACCAGGGTTTAGGGTCAGGGTTTGGGGTTTGGGGTCTAGGGTTAGGGTGTAGGGTCTGGGGGCTTTGTGCAGTGTTGTCTACGGTGGAATGGTTTCAAAGAAAGGCTCCTAAACTCGAAACTCCCAGAACCTGTGCCCCGAATCCAAAAATCGCCCAGGAGCGGCGACATCGCCAATGGCTACTTGGAGGATCATGGGACTTAGTAAGTAGGGTTATAAGTACCTTAATTTTTGGTTATATGTAACTATAACTGTAGTTGCCTTACTTATAACCTCAATTACTAAGTCCCATGATCCTTTAAGTAGGACCACCCCAGCTGGAACCCAGCTCACAACGCCTCGAACCACACGGCCTAGAGGTGAGGCCTGACAGTCAAGCTGACGAGGGCGTACCCGAATGGGACCCAAGAGCCATAGAAAGCAGAGGGTCAGAAAGAAAGACTTCCATCACACCTGCCAGATGGGTGGCTGTCACAAATTATGGCCCCTTTTTGGGTACCATAAATAATAGGTGCCGCATTATAATAGGGACCCAAAAAGGGACCATAATTTTGACAACCACCCAGATATGAGGAGACCCAGCAGAAAAGCAGCTGGCAAGGCGCCAGCGAAGCTGTTGACAACCCAGAGACTCCAATATCCCCTTAATTAAGGAATATACCTGAAAATATAGAAGGATCCCTAATATGATTTAAAGAATATTCCTCCATTAAGGGATATTGGAGTCTCTGGGCACTGCGCGCCACACCCAACGCGGACGGCCCTGAGCCACCGATCCGTCTCTTCGGCGCCTGGGCGTTGCGAAACTGGCAGCATCCCTAAGCGTTCCCAGAGACTCCAATATCCCTTAATTAAGGAATATTCCTTAAATCGTATTAGAGATCCTACTATAACTTAAGGAATATTCCAGAATTAAGGGATATTGGAGTCTCTGGGTTCGGGCAGACAACCCTGAGCCACCGATGTGTCTTTTTTGGCGAGCCTTAGAAGTGCAATCAGTGAATGACGAACTGCTGGGAGAGCACAGGGCGACAGGTGCCATTTCCTCACGCCTTACAAGGGAAAGGAATGCCGCGGCCCGGCCACGAAACCTGGGAATTCCAAAGGAAATTCGCCCAGGATCTGACTCACTTGCCAAGTCCAGAGGCCAGCATAAGCCGCAGAGGCAGGCAACCGTAAAAGCCGGGCACAGGGTTTAGGGTTTAGGGGTGTTAGGGGTTTAGGGTTTGCGGGTTTACGGTTTAGAGTCTGGAGTTTAGGGCTTAACGCGGCAAATCCTTTCCTAAAGCCCGAAACCTGGCCTGAACACTGGAAACCCCTAATCAATGAACCCCCTTTGTTAGAATCCCCATTTTGATCCTCATTGAAGGGGACGGGGAATGAGTCAGGGGTCTACATTAAACACCCTAAACCACTTAAACCCTGGCACTGCACACCAAAACCGAAACCGCAGACTCTAAACACCCAAAGCCCTACAATGCCCTACAACAACCCTGAACCCTGAATCCCAAGCCTTTGACGCCTAAAACCTTCAACCCTGAAGCCAAAACATGAAAACATAAAATCGAAAAAGCAAAACAACGAAAACACTGCACCTGTCAAACCTTGTGAAACCTACACAAAGACACCCTCTTCAGGAACAGAGGAATCATGTGGGTGGTTGTCAAAATTCGGGTCCTTTTTGGGGTCTTGATTACAATACAGCACCCAATATTTAGGGTACCCAAAAAGGGTCCATGTAGAAAACCCTTCACAAAGGCCCCCAAACCCAGCCCCAAAGGGCTCCGAATGCTAGGAGCCCCTGCCCTTCGAGCCATGCTGCCCCTGGCGATCTCTCAGGGTTTAGGGTTTAGGGTTTAAGGTTTAGGGTTTAGGGTTTAGGGTCTCCAAAGGGATTACAGTAAACCCCATAAGGGATTCCCTATACAGTACTCTTAAGGATTGAAGCTATTGGGTTTCCAACTTTTCGGCTTGTACTTTAGGGCCTTCGGGTTTGTGGGGTACTTGGAGGTTCATGGGGAGTTATAAGTGGGGTTATAAGTCCCCTAATATGGGTTATAACTATAGTTACCCTACTTATAACCCCACCTATAACTCCCCACGAACCCATATGGTGTAGGGTTTACTTCTTTTTTGAGGGCCTCCCGAATTTACACCGGTTTCCCTCGACCCTGTCAATCTTCTGGTGGCCCCGTCCATACCCTGGACGTGCGTTGCCTGGAGGGTAATCTTTGTTTGTTCCCCCCTGGTTCTCCTCCTCGCGCCACATGTGGCCGCGCATGTCCTGAGGTTAGGTTGTGACACGGAGCTGCGCGAGCGAACTGGCCATTTCTGGTGCGCATCCTGCGTGAATGCTGGATACGTTGCTACTGGTAGTTGCCTGGCTTCACTTCCAGCTACTGCCAACCCTAAACCCATAATTCGCCTCCGTCCCGGCCGGATTGTTCGGGCTTTACATGGGGTTCCGCAGGAGTTTAGCAGGTTCGGTGTTTAAAGTTGTTGTTAAAGCTACCCCCATTAGAACCATCCCAAAACTCTTGCTTTTAGTACTCTCTTGGGTTTTATATGAACAAAAAACAAGTAATTCCTAAGGAGACTATAAAAGGGGCTTCACCGCAAAAAGTGCACACTTTCAGTTTTATAGTGGGTAATGTTACCCTAAACCCTGGACCCTAAACCCTAAAGTAGTTCTCCCAGAAGGTGTAAAGTGTGTCCACTCAGCTACTATGTTGGGGCATCAGACTCGGGGTCCCTTCACTGAGCATCCTACTACGTAGCCTTCTATATTCGGGCACTTAAGGTTTAGGGTTCCTGGGGAGGGTTTAAGGCTTAGGGTTAGGGGTCTTGGGTTTAGAGTCTAGGGCTGAGGGCTGAGGGGTCTTGGGTTTAGGGTTTGGAGTTGCAGCCCGCACGTGGGTTTGTATGGCTTCTTTGCTACGTCTTCATTACCAAGGAAAGATAGACCTGAACCGCTCTCGCCATGCACGCTAAGCCCCTTGTAATCCCCATGAACCTGTTTCCGAAAATTAGGGGTAGCATATTTTGGGGTCCTAAAAATAAGGATCCTACCATCTGGGGTACTATATCAGCGTCACTTATTTTCGGAAACTCCCATAAAAACCGTACAAAACCGTACAACCGACCATCAACCGCGAAACGTACGTCTCGAGATGATCCGCACGTCAAGCTATCTGACTCAGCGTTGCCAGCATTTGTTCTGGCAGGCATTGGCGTTGCTTTTCTTAGGGTTTAGGATTAGGGCTAAGGTTCATGTGGCTGCTATGAGCCAAAGTTTATAGCCCCACTCATGCATTTCACTCCCCCCCTCCTGCACATCGCTAGTGTGCTGGTAGGGAATGCATGGGTTGCAGTGCGATCATCTAAATCTCTAACTAATGTCCCGAGGATGAAGATGACGATGATGATGTGATGAAGAACGGGCTGGCGATCTCGGTGATCATGATCATGATGCATAGGTACTCACGGAAAAACCGGTGATGCTGGCGTCGGTGTCGATGGTAATGCTGAAGAAGATGATGATGGCGACGATGACTGCTCGATCACAATGTAGGGGCCTTGATAATTAGAATAGGGTTTTGGGGCCAATCATACAACAAATATATAAAACAAAACCTCCAAAATTGTATCGGTAGTTATTTTTATAGAAAGGAACCCCCAAAATAGCATTGGTCATTATTAAGATATAAGCAGGAACCCCCGAAGTAGTATTGGTAATTATTTCGGCCCCTTTATTACCTGTCGCTGCCTGTCGCTGTCGCTGGTCGCCATTACCTTGCCACGGTGGGGCTCGGGAACATGAGCGGGGGCTTCCTTCAAAGGGTACCATAAGGGCTGCTATGGGTTACTATAAGGGATCTCTAAGGGTTCCTTTAAATGGTACTATAAGGGCTACGATAAGGGATCTATAAGGGTACTATAAGGGTAATGTCGGAACCTGATTAAGAAACCTTGAAGGCCTCATTAGGGTTCCTTATACAGGGCCAGGGTTTCTTAATCAGGTTCCTACAGTACTTCAACCACCAAAGCCACGGAAGCCAACAAAAACCACGAACGACTTGGAGGTTCATGGGTAGTTATAAGCGGGGATACACGTCCCCTTAATGTGGGTTATAACTATAGTTATCTTACTTATAAACCTACTTATAACTCCCCAAGAACCTCCAAGCAGAAACTAGCTTCCGATGCACCTTTCCCTCATTTTTGTATAGTGCGTTCGTTGAGCAGATTGACAATGTCCCACGCACATCTATTAATACAGGACTGAATCCGCTGCTGCTGCCGCTACTCCTCCGCACCCTCCTTCTATCTGCTCCCCCTGCCCATCAAACTCCTACTCCTAGCATAGGGGCCTTGATAATTAGAATAGGGGTCGGGGGTATATTATACTATGATCATAATGAGGAACCCCTAAGATAGTCTTAGTATCTATTAAGGTCCTTGTATTACTCCCACTGCCACTACTGCTACTGCTACTGCCACTACTCGATGATCAAGACGACGACGTCCGTGCCCTAGACTATCACAGCCACCAGCTCATCCCCAGCACCACCACCATTATGACGGTCTTGGACAACACCATCGTCAACAGAAGCGGGACTACCTCTGCAGGACTATTTTTCTTAGTCACCTTCGTTTGCATAGCCTTCGTCTGTCCAAGGTGTCTTGATTGTTTGCCTCACCACCTCCACCGCCACCTCCACCGGCACCGCAACCACCACCACCACCCCACCATCCTATTCTCGTCGTTGATGTTGTTCATTGGAATCTCCACTTTGTAACCAAGATCATTGTCAACGGACCTCTGTTTGCCGAACCGGCTTCCCTGCGACATGAAGGGCATTGATGATGCTAAACCCGAAACCCCAAACACTAAAACCCTCTGAAACCATTCCAACAACCTGATAAAGCCATTATATACCCTTATAAAACCTTAGCAAAAGAGCTGCAAAACCATGATAAAGCCCTATGCCCAAATTGCACCTGTGGTATCCACAGCAAACTCGCGATGCGTGCCAAGCTCCCGGCAGTTTCCGCGGAATGGCATCCCCCATGTGATGCACATCCAGGCTTTGCGCAGTTTGCTTAAAACAAGGAGTTTAGGCTTTTAGGGTTCAGAAACCCTAAACCCTACTAAGCCCTGAATCTTGAAGTTCAGGGCTCAGGCTAAGTTGGGGCTTGGAGTGTTTGAAGTTTCGGGGTTCGGGCAGTTCGCATTCCGGGTTGCCCCAAACCGTGCAAAGCTGCACCGTTTGCAGGCTGGATCAAGGTTTAGGATGTACAGTTTTCATGCGGTTCATGGCGTAAGTCTCCTGATATGTTCTTATCCTGGGTTAATGCAGAGCCCTGCCCAACACTGAGCCCTTAACCCTAAACCCTAAACCTGCCGCGAAAGGGTTCACGTAGCTTGGAAGCAAATCTCTCCGGCCTTCACGCGAACACAACTTTGAGGCCTAGTAGTAGAGGCCCGGAGACTCCAATATCCCTTAATTACGGAATATACCCTAAATATATTAGGCATCCTACCATACTTTAAGGTATATTCCTTAACTAAGGGATATCGGGGAGTCTCTTTGTAGAGGATGAGGCTTTAAGCTTTAGGGTTTATAAGCGCTTGTGGTTTCGGGCCAAGGCTTTGGAGGTTTCGGATTTCGGGCTCAGAGGTTTAGGGCATTAGGGTTTAGGGCTTTAGGGTTTTAGTTCAGTTTCGGGTTCAGGGTTTAGGGCTCAGAGGTTTAGGGCATTAGGGTTTGGGGCTTGAGGGTTTTAGGGCTTTGAGGTTTTTGGGCTTCAGCGATTGATTGTCAGGGCTGTGTCTGAGCCTGACGGAATTCTCGGCGATGCGCAAGCCGACACGGTAAACGCTCAAGCCTAATCTAAGGGATCGGGAGGGATGGATCGGGGAGCAGGGTTATCCTGGTGACAGCCCTGCTTTCTTCCCAACTAGACATTTGCAACCTGAGCCGTCCCAGAGTGCGCAACACCCTTTGTGGGTTTGGGAGTTCAGGGTTTAGGGTTAGGGTTTATGCATGCAGTCAGGTTCGGAAGCCGCATGGAACCCTTTGGATACTTATGATACCCATATGCATGGACCAAGAGCCGCAGAGTCAAATTCTTCGAGGTTTACTATTTGGGCTTTGTGGTCTACCCTAGGGGCCTTAGTAATTAGACTAGGGTTCCTTTAAAAACCCTACATAAGGGTTACTTTAAGGGATACTATATGGGCTCTATGATATAGGGGCCTCAATAATTAGAATAGGGTTTTGGGATAAATTCTACTATAATTATAGTAAGGTACCTCCAAATAGTATAGGCAATTATTTAGGCCCCTATATTATTACTCAATCCCGAAACCCCAACAAACCCAAACCCTAAAACCCCTCACCCTTTGCCGTGTCCTTGTAGGCATTTACAGGGATTTACGACAGATCGGAGGCTAATGCGTTTCGGTTCAGGGCTTAGGGTGTGTTAGGGTTGAGGGTTTAGGGTGTGTCACGGACTTGGGTGCTGCGGTTGATGATATAAATCCAGCCATAGTTTCGGGTCTTTAAGGTAATGCAGGGTTTATACCATCAACCGTATTATACTAAACTTATGGTAAGGAGCAGAGGGAATACTATCACGAATTACTCAAGACCCCATATGAGGCGCTAGGGGTTGGCACCATACTCTGTCCGCTTTCGAAGGTCCTATGCTACGCGGCTCTGGTATCAACACACACACACACACACAAACTCCTCGAGCAAGAAATCTTGTAGGGTTCCATTCTGGCGCATGAAAGCCCCAAATACCCCTCCACCTCAAACACAACAAAAGAAACAGAAAACACCGTTTACAAAAGGGAAGCCTCGAGCCTCACTGTTCAAGCTTTAGGGGGTGAAGGTTTAGGGGCTTAGGGTTTAGGGTTAAGAACTGGAAACAAAAATCTCTCAACACTTGGAGGTCCATGGGTAGTTATAGGTGGGGTTATGGGTCCCCTAATATGGGTTATAACTATAGCTACCTTACTTATAACCCCATATAAAGGGGACTTATAACTGCCCATGCACCTCCAAGCGGGACTGACAAAAAGAACTGCTGGAATGAAACCCTTCATTGAGAAAACCCTGCAACCTTATAGGCCCTCAAACCCTTAAACCTCAAATTTCTAAAACCCCCCCCCCCCCCCCCCGGCGCCGAAACCCTAAACCCTAGACACTTATGATCCTAAACGGTCCTAAACCCTAAACACTCAAACTGAAGGGGGCTCGCTGGTGGGGCCTCGCAGGGAAGCCTGCGACGAGCGGAAGGAGCTCCCACGGGCGCTTTGTGGAGGCTCAGGGGACTGGGTTTAAGGTTTAGGGGTTTAGGGTTTAGGGTTCAGAGTTTCGGGTTCAGGGTTTAGGGTTTAGGGTTTAGGGTTTAGGGTTTAGGGTTTAGGGTTCAGGGTTCAGGGTTTAGGGTTTAGGGTTCAGGGTTTAGGGTTCAGGGTTTAGGGTTCAGGGTTTAGGGTTTAGGGTTTAGGGTTCAGGGTTCAGGGTTTACTGAGTAGGGTCTGCTAAGGGCCTCATAGGGCCCTGTTTACGAGTGCACGGGTTTTAGCGGCTTAGAGGTGAAGCTATAAGATCAGCGCAGTTACATAGGAAGCCGAGTCTAAGTATAGCTATAGGAAGCATGATTGATGTTGTTCTACTTACAACCATATTTTTAAGCTACATACTCAGTCTTGTTGACCGTTCGGGGGTTGGGGTTTGGGAGTTTCGGCGTTGAGAGGTTTCGCTTTCTTCTTGGTCGTTGCTTACTGCTGCATGTGTTGTGTCTGTCTGTGCGTCTGTACGTGTCTCCGTGCCTGTCTATGTGTGTTTGTGTTTGTGTGCATGCGTGCGTGTGTGTCTGTTTTTGTCGTGTGCTTTCGTTGAGTTTGCCACATGTTTGGTCGCTCGCTGTTTGTTGCTTTTTTTGTGTAGTGGAGGATGCTTTCAGATACGTGGGCAGGTATAGGGTGCCTTTGTGGAGTTTGTAAAGGTTTGTAGGGTTTATGTCTAGTCTAGGTTTAGGTTTACGGACATGGGGCTGAGAGTTCAGGTGCTAATGCACTTGCTTGAACCACTAGAACAGGGCTGCTACAGCTGCATCAGGGAACCCTTAGAAACCCCATGCCAGTGAGTAACGCTCTGCCTACTTCTTCTCGTACATACCAGCCATCGTACTATGTAGCCTAGCTCTCGCTCCGAAACGTCGGGGTTTAGGGCTTCAAGTTTAGGGCTTAGCACTGCTATGATCATCAGTAACTTTCTACTGGTTCTGCTTCAGACGGGGGATGTTGGCAGTATGTATACGCTTCATGTATAAACCTTAATGCTAACACTATCAAGACGCCGACCGACAGTTTGAAAGGGAGCCATTCGTCGGAAGCCTCCCCCTTTCATGACTTTAGGACTTAAGGCTCAGAGTGTAGTCATGACTTTAGGACATATACAGTAGAAGCCAGAAAGCTGGAATATGATTATCCTAACCCCTTTTAGGTAAATTATAGGGGATCCTACCATTAATCTATATTCCAACTTTCTGGAGTTCCCTTTAGGGCTCAGAGGGTAGAGCTTCGGGTTGTTAGGATTCGTAGGTTCTTGGATCCGCGTGTTGGATTTGCGGTTCGGGTCTAGCTGGGTTGGCCTTTAAGCACCCTGAAAAATATCTCTATATATATATATATATATATATATATATAGGGTCCCTGACCAACCCAAATAAGGAAAATAAAAAATGTCCCCAAATCCAACCTAGCTAGTCTA